AATAACACACCAACAAGTAGCACTGGAAAAATATCACTGCAGGATGAAGGTGTGTATTCTGAGGGTAAAAAAATTCCATCTTATTATGAATAAATTCAAAATGGCTGCTCCAAATAATGACTTCTTGATTATTAGAAGTGGAGCATTAACAATGAAAGACACCTCTACCTTATTAATAAGATTCTACAATATAAATACCATAATCCACATTTGGGGCGCAGGCTTTTTGAATTCGTAATGGAAGATCAATCTTTTTCTGCTGGTTGAGCAAGGAACAGGATTCTTCAAGAGGGGAAAAGAGAAGACAGCATGTTGGATTGATTGTTGAGGGTACACATTCTCATTTAAAAGACATTGCTAGGAAAAGAAGTTGCCAGCACAGAAGCAGATAATGTCTCATTTTTAAATATCTACATTTGAAAATCAGAAATCAGTAATGCTAATTTAAATGGGACAAGCCATACTGTCAGCCTCAAGATATCTTCCATAATATCTATATTCTGCATTCTAACTATTGCTTCTCTGCTGCTATGCCAATCTATATCTTTCGGCTGTCATTAGCAATGGAGGGAGGGGGGAATTTGGAGGGGAAGAAGGCTGGAGGTGTTTTGCATTCCTTTGCTGGGTTAGCAAAGTGGGGGGATTCCTTTCTTTAACTTTCCATTTCTTGGCTAGCTTCTGTCCCCTTTTGCGCAACTGCGAGCTTTTATCAAAATATGACAAGGTCAACTGACAGAAGCCTCATCACCACCTGGAGATGGCCACATGATCATATTCAGAACTTTTAATTGGAAGAGTCATTTGGACTTTGGGGGGTGGGAGCATTTCCATTCCTTTGTATATGTGATCTGCCCACCAATTTCTCAATTTCGGAATTGAATCTGTAGCTTTCACTTTATTTTCCAGTAAAAGGATAACTTTGCTCTAACCATGGAGTCTGAGTATTTCTTTCTTGGGATTTGAAGGGAGCACAGACTGACACATACTGTCTCTAATCCAGGGGTCCCCAACCTGTGGGCTGTAGCCAGCTAGTGGTGGTGCTGACAGCACCAAGGCCCCTGTCCATCAGGGCCAACAAGATCAAACCATTCCCAGATAACAGTTCAAGACCTGTTCCTGGGCATCTCCATGGACCGTCTCCACACATGGGATCCAACTGGGACTAGATCTGAGCATCCATCAGGCATGGGTCCAGATTACCTGAGAGACCATCTCACCTCATTGGGATTGGCCCGTTTCACTTGTGCCAGCAGATGAGGCAAGCTGCAGACACTGTCAGCCCAATTATTCCAGCTGGTGGGGTCCAGGAGGAAGGCCTTCTCTATTGTTGCTCCTACCCTCTGGAACATCTTTCCCCTCCCCAATGTGAGGTTGGACCCAATCCTCCTATCCTTTTGTAAGAGCCTAAAGACCTGGTTCTGCCACTTGCCCTGGGGCCCCAGTGGGCGAACAGCACAATGGAGGTGGTTATTCGAGTAACAACAGATTTCACCTCCCTCCATATTCCTCCCCCGGTGTCCTTAGGTTTTAATGTTTGATTTTAATTATTTATGTTTTAAACATATATGTATAGATATATATATTTATGACTGTAAGCTGCCCAGAGTTACCATATAGTAAGATGGGTGGCCAATAAATTTTATAAATAAATTTATTAAATTTATATGACAGAGATTCCATACTGTCTCTTCCCCAAACCTTCCATTTTGGTGATCAGATGCAAACTTTACTTATTTATTGCAACTTACCTTCTGCACATCGGCAAATGTTACCATGACATATCTTATTGAGAAGACCTGTTCCTTTATCTGGATGGTAGAACTTGGTACACTGTTCATCTAAAGGAAAAATTGAGAGTTATGTGCATACATCACAACAAGAAATCTAAGGTGATTATAGAGATAATTATTTAGGACAGGGCTGTTCAAACTCAAGGCCCGTGGGCTGGATCCAAACCATGGGGTGCTTAGATCTGGCCCGCAGGGCCACCGTGAAAATAGTGAAGGACTGGCCTGTGGTGCCTCTGTGTGGCCCTCCCGAGCTCCATTTTTGGCTGTGACAGCCTCCTGCACCCCTCTGCCAGAAAAAACAGAGCTTGGGGAGACCATGTACAATCCACCCAGGCTCCATTTTTGATGGCAGAGGGCTGCAGGAGGACGTTACAGCCAAAAATGGAGCCCGTTCACTGGCAGAGGGCTGCAGGAGGCCATCATGGCTGAAAATGGAGCCTTGATGAGTGACGTCAAGTTGGCTACACCCACCCTGGCCATGACTATCTCCGTCCCCCCAGGTCAAACCTGGGTGGGGCGGCCCCCAATGAACTCGAGTTTGACACACCTGATTTAGAAGAACAAAGAGTAACCCATTTTCTCAAAATTTCAAATTTGGGGCATGTCTGACGTGACAGTGCAATGGAAACTTATCAAGAATGTTGGTTGGCTGATTGAATTTTATTAAGCATTTACCTGAAAAGCACAGAGCCCTACAATGCAATAAGAAAGGTAAGAGAGGATCCGTGTATCTGCCATTCTTCATGGAAGAAGAAGGGGGGGTGAGTTGATATAAGAAATCCTTTTTGATGTAACATGGATATATTAAATCTTATATTGAATTTGGATAACCCATGATATACTACGGAGGGACGGAAACCAGATGCCCCGAAAGACCCATCACCTCTGAAAGAGACAGCCACAGGATGAAGAGACCATAAAAATTCCTGCTGGGAGATGTCTCCTGGGAACCTCAAAAAAGATCGTTCTCAGAAGAGTGGGGGGAATAAACATGTTGGCTCTTTGTTTTACTAAATACACATCAAGAGAAGGGAAGGGGTCTTAAACTCCCTTATCTATCCCTGCATGCCTGAGGCACGTTAGATGCTGCTTTTAATCCCTACATGAATTATCTCATCTCAATAAAGGATTCGTTTTGATACGTTTGGTTTTCAGAAGTTCATTCTTGTTGATTGAATGGGAAAAAGTTCTGTAGCCTGACAGATATCCCATTATATAATGGAGTTAGTAAGTTGGAACAGGGACATCTATAGAATTCTGCTCCTTTCGTCAAATGGTACTGCATTGCAAGCTTTGAGCATGCATGTGATGCTACAATTAGCATACAAAGGGGTTTGTGGTGTGACAGCACAATGTTTACTTTTGTCATTCTAATCCCCCTTGATGCTTCCTCTACATGCCACTTTTT